TCAAGTTGACGTTTGAAATTGGAAAGAGCTGTGCGTACCTCGATGTTTTCATCAAGGCACAGGTTCCACGCGCATCAACAGCCGTGTACCGCAAACCGGTAGTCCAACCATACTTACTACCGTTTGACAGCTCACACCCAATGCATGTCAAGCGAAATATACCTGTGGCTTCATTCATTCGTGCCATCAGGATATGTTCGGACCAAGAGGAGTGTCAGGCGGAATTCACACGAATACGCACGCGACTACTCCTCAACAGGTACCCACCGGTATTTATAGACCAGCAACTCCAGCGTCTTCTCAACGACTTAAAACTCTCCTCTAAGGACGAGCTTTTTCACAAATACCACTCTATTCGGGCCCACCTACGGCAGATAGACTGGAGAAAGCAGGACCCGTCGATCAAACAACGGTGTCACTGTCACCACCCTTCACATTCACCACGCATTATCGCATGTCAAATGCCCACTTTTTACGCACAAAAGTACCATAAAGTATTTTTATTGATTTTTCTTTAAACAATAGCTCAGAAACTCCAATCCATTAATCGTTTTAGTTTTCTTCAAAAACGTTTTTAATCCAACAAAAAGTTCACCGCAAAAAATCCTCCGTTTTTGCCTCTACCCTCATGCGCCCAATATGTTTCGTTTTCACGCGAAACCAAAAACGTCTTTTTTCGATGATTTTTACCCCAAAACTGGATAAATACCCGTGCTGATGCATTTTTACGACTTGAGAAGGTGCTAGAGTGACCTGAACCACTATACTAACAACCTTACACAACGCACACGAATCCGGCAAAAAATCTTTTTAAAAAAAGTTTTCGAAAAAGTTTTTAATTCAGCAAAAGATTCGCCTAAAAAAGTGCTCCGTTTTTGCCTCTACCCTTATATTTCCAATATGTTTCGTTTTCACGCGAAATCAAAAATACCAAAAAAACTTTTTTCGATGATTTTTACCCAAAAATGTTTTTTGATATTTTTGAGCTCTCTCAAGTGCAAAACCCCTAAAAAGCTTTTCGAAGCACCATCAGATCTGCTTCAGAAGACGCAAAAACCACATTTCTAGGTTGTCCAAGAATTAGGACAAATCTCTTATTGCAGTTGTCACCGCCTGAGGCTATTATTATAGCGGCTTCCTGACGGTTCATCCTGTAGTCTAACGAAATCGTCATTTTACCATACACATCCATTTTCTGTTATCATCCGTTCCACTCCAAAAAATAAAAAGATTGTTTTCTGTTCTCATCCGCTCCTGTCCAAACAGTCTTCATTGGTTATTTCTAACATGTATTTTCATTGATTATTTTTTTATTGTTAACATGTCCTTTTTCCCTATATAACCAGCATGTTTTTTTCATATTCTTTCACATACGTACACTGAAGAAGATATTCGAAATGCATTTATACGTGTGAATTTTATGATCATCATTTTCTATCTCCAATCTTTACTTGTAATTTTATAATAAAATAAAAAACGTTTTTGTTTGGTACGAAAAACAATTTGAAAATCCAAACAACATCTGTGTAAAATATCTGCGAAAGTTCCCGTTTTTTAATACACGTACCCTAACAGTTCCTAAATATATATATATTTTATCAGCTTATTCTAAATTTTCTTTCTCGAAACTATAATCAAGGAAGTTAGCCGTTTCCAACATTTTGTTTTGGGTAAACTCTTTTGTCCACAGTGCTTGACCAAGCGTACAAAACATTCGATAACAAAATTTATAGAAAAACAACAACAAAAATGTACAAAACACAACAAAGTTGGCGTCTACTTCCATAATAATTTTCTATTAACTTCAGTAAAATGCGTTGTTTGTTTTCTTAAACTGCATTTTATTGAATAAATGAATATACAATATTTTTTCTGTTTAACAAAAGCTAAATACTCCACATCATTCGTATCAATATCAAAGTCAAACGAACTTCCAATGATGATCACAAACTTTTGGCACGGATACTTTCTCGTTAACTCTCCCTGCAAGTACCAAATTACATCACCATATGAGCTAATTGTTAACGTTGGAAATGTTTGACTTGTTGAATATGCAATGTTCACTAGTCGTTCCATTTTCTGACCAAATTCGCCGTTCGTTGAGGAAATGGACAATTCAGCTCGTTGACAGACAGCCAGTTTTCGCCGTTTATTTCTCAACTTCTTTGCACTTTTTTTCGCCATCGTATCTATTAGATAATTTATCAAATAAAAACCAGGAATCATTTTTCTCGTATTCATCAATTCCACTTACCTAGAACACAGTGTTGGTGTATTTATAGCTCTTTACTGAGTCGAACGTAAAGATAACAACTGTAAATGACACCTTAAGTAAACATTGTGTCATAGTGGTTGTGAAATTAGTGTTTCAACAACCTATTCCACAAGGATTCCACGTGATTTTGTATGAAGGATCAAACAAGTACAATGTTGTTGCCTTTTCCAGTAGAATCACTCCTCCTGCCGAAAGATGTTCGAAAACGGAAAAGGCATTTTCGCCAAATATCTGTTAGGTTTCCGACAGTTCGGATACCCTGTACCGTATTCTCAACTATCCTTTCGGTTTCCAAAGTCACCTGCAAAACCTCCAAGGGTTTCGTATTACAGTTTCAAAACCAAAAAGAGTTTCCGAACCACATCCAGTTCCCGAGAAAACGCTTTTTTTTAGAGTGCAGGACCAGAGTGCCCAAATCTTCTGATTTGACCAGGAGACTCCTGACTTTTAGACTTTTCGTCTGATTTCTCGTGAGTTTCAATTGTTTTCCTGCATCGATTTTGTTTTTTCCAAAACTGAGATTATCAGTTTCAGAAACAGAATTTCTGGATCGAGAGTCTACATAATTGTACATTCAAAGAGTCCGCTGTGTGCTTATCGAATGTTTCATCACAGAAAGATGAGATCAGTGAACTTCCAAATTCATGCGATCAAAAACTTCTTTCTCAATCCGTACTGTAGTCTGTAACAAATGATAATACTGTTCCATCAAAAAATACATCAGAAAACACTATGTTTTTGAAAAAGTGCTTGGACTTTTTTGTTTTGCTTGTCGAAGAAAAAACTGTCTAATACCCTCCCGTTTTTCGTCTGATTTTCCTCCTGATTTTTAGAAAAAACCTCCTGACTAACTCCTGATTTTTAATGAAAAGCTCCTGATTTCGAAAAATTGGATTTGGGCACCCTGCACAAGACAGTCAGTTATTTGTTTTAACTTTTATAAAGACAGAAAAAACGCATATAGTATTGATAAAATAGGAACAGCAGCTGTTTTTAGATTCATATTTATTTACTAAAAACAAATTTTTATTAAATAAATATAAAACTAAAAGCAATTGCTGTTACTGTTTTATCTCTATATCAGAACGACTTAACACACTACGCAGTCAATATTGCTGTAAAGTACTCAATGAGTCTTCACATTTTTAAGAACTCAAAAGAGTCGATTCTTTATTTTTTGTACAAATTTTATGGTGTTCTTCAGTCTGTTCTCTGAAGGCATTAAGAACAGTCCGAGCGGTTATATCAACTCACCCCTACTAGGTATATAAATTGTTTTAGAACGGATCCCGTTCTCAGACCCATCCTGTCCCATTACTCCCCATTCAAAGTGAAACCCGGAGTAGTCCGTTTTTAGTCCTAACGCCCGTTTCGATTGTTTTTTTGAATTGAAATGTAAAATTTCTTTCAAGTTTATGATAACATTTTTCAAAGGCTTCCTTAAAGTTTTCAAAAAGCAAGTATTTATCCTTAGTGATTTTGACTTGACATCACCAAAATGTAAACGTCACGTTGTTTTACTTTGTTTTACTTGTCATTCTTTTTGATTTTCAGGTTTCCTCATACGTTCAAAATCTCATCTCTCTTGATGTTTTGTCCCAATCTAAATAAAACTAAAGTCACACTCGTGGATGTATGATATGTAAAAGCAAACACAGAAATAGACAAAAGTATAGTAATATGCATAGAATATAGAAATACATAACCAAAACGAAAACAAAGCACTGTTGGTACAGATGTACCGAATAGCATATCCAAGAGCGAGAGAACGGACAATAGAACGCGGGGTCCAAAAAACAGTCGGAACGGGCGTTCGGGCTTAAAACGGACTACTCCGGGTTTCACTTTGAATAGGGAGTAATGGGACAGGATGGGCCAGAGAACGGAATCCGTTCTAAAACAATTTATATACCTAGTAGGGGTGAGTTGATATACCCGCTCGGACTGTTCTTAATATCTTCAGAGAACAGACTGAAGAACTCCATAAAATTTGTAAAAAATAAAGAATCGACTCTTTTGAGTTCTTAAAAATGTGAAGACTCATTGAGTATTTTAATCTATAACTTATATTATTCATAAATGAAAGAAAATGTGTGTTTCTTTACAAACAGTTGATGAATTTGTACTTTCTCATAACAACATAAAAAAGAACACAAAAACTAAAGCAATTCAGATATATATACGGTGAAAGCATTAGCCTTATAGAAAATGGAATGTTGTTTGAAAAATCAGCTCATTAACCTGGTAAATAGCTACTCAATGTATGAACTGTATAAATATTGATAGAATAAGTAAACACTGCAAGGTTTTTAAAAATTGAACGTCGATTATTTTCACTTGTAAATACCATGTCAAGATTTTCTTTCATTTATTCCATTCATAACTCATTAATTAAAAAAACATATAACCATTTTGTAATATATGTGAAACGTAGGAGTTCAGAAAATGTTATTAGGCATCTAGCAAAATTAGAGATATCTCTTCTCGCAAATGCACGACGTATATCTTGATAGATATTCTCTTTTTCTCTTTCGCCGTGTGAAGCAAGAGGAACAGTTCGATAAATAAAAAACAAGAAAACGGGTATTTCATCTTCACTATTGTGGGGGAATAAAGTATCTCATTGGATCTCCTGGTATTGGTCAAAACTGACACATAATACTCGCGAAGACGCACTAGGACTGTCTTTATACACTCTTGCCCGTGGAAAACAAAACACCCATTCTTTCTGTTCGTTTCAAGACACGACAGAAGCATTTTTCTTTGAGCATACCACAGCATTCTCTTTTTCTCTTTCGGCGTGTGAAGGAAACGGCATAGTCAGTGCAGCGTTGTTTTCATTCACTATTTTATTCTTTTAACACTTTTTTAAACATACAGTGGCGAAATTGATAAAACAAGCTATAAATGTTGTTCTGGTCTGGCTGGTTTACGATTCAGATGAGTCTTTGCGGATTACTGTCCTCACTTGTCAATCAGTTTAAGAAAATTAGTTACCACAGAAAATCTGAAATAATCTGAATTCTAGCTGCATTGTTTAGTTGTCAACGATCATTTTTAACTTTTGCAGAAGACATACAACATTGCATTGCAAAATACAGAAATTATGATTATTCAAATGGAATATATATCAGAATACATAAATATGTGTGTTCTTTCTTATTATCGTATCTAAGCACATTCAAATCCTTCTTTCTGTATTGTGTCTACGCATATCTCTCTTTTGTTTGATCATTTTAAACAAAATAACAGACATTTGAAAATGCATAATACCTATTTCAGGTATAAAATAGGTTTGCACGTACATTGGCAAGATAAGCGCAGCAAAGACTCACAGCTTACCATAAATTATGTTGATGATGGAAAACACCATGAATTGCTTCAAAAACTTTCATTTCGCGCGTTAGGTGTTCAACAAATATTCTTTTAGCTGACAGATGATAGTTAGTTAAATAAATCTTTTGCTGATTGAGGAAGAGCTCGAAGTTCGTTTCTTCTAACCGGTGTGAGTAAATAGTCACCATTAGTGAATGCCTTATCAGCAAGTATTTTTGTATGAGGAGGAATTGTACAGTTTTGATTGGGACCGATACCACACGTGGCCGACCACACCATTATACGACTAAATGACGCGAAAAGTACTATTAAACAGATATTGAAGGTTCAATTAATACAACTAATCAAAATGCTCAGACCAGAGAATTAAACGATACACTTGTTAAAGCAAGAGCAGATCAATTGAATAGTATTCTTAAAGCACATAGGTCACAATTTTTAACGAGGGAATTAGATAGAGTATTAAGACAAGTTATTCGTGGAACATTAAAAATAGTTGATCAAGCAGTTGTACAAAGTACAAAGGTAATGATTGATTCACAGTTTAATGGACAAAATGCTCTTGATGGACTATGAGAGTCTAATCAGAATCAACAAGCGCAAACTAGTGTTGAACAACCTTCACTGAAGCAGGATTCTCAGAAAGACGAGCAAGATAAGGCTAGAAGAGAAGATCTACAAAATAATATAGAGAATCCTAAAATAGGCATGGAAAATCATTTAGAAGAAATGAAAGATAAAGATAGAGGCTTGGGCATTGTTGATGTAAAAATGCTTGTGAATAGTAAAAGAAGAAATCTAATCTTTGTTGATTCAGAAATTGTAATCAAATAATTGGTGGAAAAAGAGCTCCTGAACCGCACCTTGACGCTATAAAAAAAGATCCACCTGAAATTTTGACAGGCAGTTATGGTGACTTATGTAGAAAATATCCAAAGCGGAAAGTGTTTATGAAATACATCACATGCCTCCAGCATCTTGCTATGCAGGTACACCTTATGAAAAGATCAGTCGATATGATATGCCAGCAATACTCATGCATAAAGAAGATCATAGAGCAATTCTTTCGACAGGATCGAGTACAGAAGGTAAAGAGCATCGCAAACAAACTCATGAACCCATGAGAAATGGACATATGTCTGTGGCTATAGAGGTAACACTAAACAATACAAAAAATACGGCTAAGGAAAGCGAACCCTATGCAAAACATACTAATCAATATCTTGATTATGTGGCAACTAAATCAGTAACGAAACGCCCCAGAAAACGAAGATAAAACCACTACTCTAATAACTGAGCAAAAAAAACAGGAACTAAAAGAAAAAGTCAACTAAAGCTAACTAAAATTGCCTGATAGTCCTGCCATGGTTGCATATACCATATCAGAAATGCCTTGAATGAATGAATTTATTTTTGTAAAGAACACAAGGAAATTACAAGAAAGCTAGAGCTTGTTTGAATGTAACACCAGATACAATAAAATCTCACACACACGCACCCACACATAGCATAAATTTAGACAGTAAAAAGATGTTGTTTTAATAGAGTTGAAAATGTTCTTAGCGTATTCTGATGAGCAACAGTACAAGGTAATTTGTTCCAGTCCTCTATAGTTTTTGGTACAAAAGAACCGGAAGCAGATTTTAAGGTGAAGTTCTTGCCCTGAACCCGTTTGTTATGTGAGTTTCTCTCAGTTTGACGGGTAGATAGAAAACTGGTAAGACTGCTATGAGAAAGAGCACTGCAGCCATGGTAAAGTTTATAGAAATAAACTAAACGTGAAAATTTTCTCCGCGAAGATAATGGTGGTAAATTTAACTGACTTGAAAGGATAGTAGAAGAGGATACGTAGTCACGTAGTATGATTCTACATGCTAGATTCTGTACTTTGTCTAATACAGATAATTATGTTTAGTAATTTTTAATACAGATAAGTGAGTGCAATAGGATGAGTCATAAATGATAGAACCATACTCCAAAGCCGGGCGAACACAAGTTTTATACAAGTGAAGACCTAACGAGGGTGGAGCATCCCTAAACACACGAGAAATAGATCCCAACATCATTGTACAATTAGATACAATATGTTCTAAGTGGCGTTTCCCAGTCAGGTCATGAACAAGTCTCATGCCAAGTAATTTTATGGCTGTTGAGCGTTCAATTTTTATATCGTTAATAGTAAGTGACATAGATGAATAGGTATTAGGTAAAGTAGAAAAGATCATCCACTCGCATTTTTTTATATTGAGACCAACGAAGTTAGTGTCACACCAGCAAATTACCTCGTCAATACAAGATTGAGCCACATCCAGATCGCAGAGTAGAAATAGGTCGTCAGCAAAAAGGGATGTTAACAGCGGAGAAGCTAACGATTGTGGTAAGTCATTTATAAATATGAGCTAAAGTAATGGGCCAAGGATTGACCCTTGAGGAATTCCGGAACTAACAGAAACAGAAAGAGAAGCGACCTCACCTACTACAACTTTTTGTGTCCTTCCTGTAAGATAGGATTTGAACCAGTCGAAAAGAGAACCAGAGATGCCGGCGGATGAGAGTTTCCTTAGTAAAATATGATGAGGCATGCGATCAAACGCTTTCTCAAAATCGAACCCAATGCCAGCAATTTTGCGTCGGTTATTCAGATGCTGATAAATATTGTGAGTAATTAAGAGTAGAGGGTCGATTGTAGAGCCTTCAGCAACTAGAGCACCTCCTATATTAACAGCACCGAATGAGATTAAGACTGCGCCGGCAATGACTTGGGCAAGTCCTATCATTGCAATGGCAAATGCATTCCAATCCCACCAGGATTTATCTACTTTAATAATTAAAAACTTATTCAGAGCAAGTCCTTGAAAAAAATATAATTCAGTTGGAACAATTTCTTGATCTGACAGATCAATAAAGTCTGTAAGGGTTGCTTTTAAACCATCTTTATATGAACGAATATCTCCTTGTAAAACTGATAGTTTCGATTCACTTAGTTTCTTGTCATTTCATAACTAATATCTTCTAAAATTTCATCTAACAGTTTATCTATCTCTTCCTGCTTATTACCATATTTATGAATGGCAAGTCCGCCTGATTTGAGGTTATTTTTAGCCTTTAAAAATATTCGAATTTTATTTCTTTTCTCTTCTCTTCTATCATATGGCAAATCTGTTTAATAAAAATATTCACTATGTTCTTTAATACTATCTTGTAATTCTATTAAAAACGTTTTCAGATCCTTTGTATCATGACCATTGTCATTAAATTTAACTTTTGCGTATTTTTTATATTGATGTTCAAATCTTAGAGAATTGAAATTAATTCATCGATTTTAATTCTTCTAATTTGAGTCAGTATTTGTATAGCTTTGTTGCTATAAAGTGAGTATTTTTGTTGTATTTTTTCTTTAATTTAAATTTTCGTTAATTGATTTGGTAATTAGTTTTTTCTACTCTGTTCATATTTCTTGTTGTATATATATTCTTCTTCTAGATACTGTTCACTAATTAATTTTCTATTCAATTGCTATATATTCTTCTAGTATATATTTTCTTTAATTTGATTTGGGGATTAAAAGTCTTATTTTGTGGAGATCATTTTACTGTTAATAAATTGAGGATCAAGAGTCACTTTTTTGGGATCAAAAAAATTGATACCCATCATTTTCACTACATATATGACCACTTTCAAGTTTTAATCATTGAAAAAATGATCGACATTTCTGTTCTCCTTCTATAGCTAAATCTCGATTACTAGAACCAATATCAACAGCATTTCCACATAAGGCAAGAAATGCAGCAGTTAATCCGACAATAAGAGTTTTTCCTTCACTTGTTTGAACCTGTCCAAGAAGTCCTTTGTCATTACTATGAACAAAAAGTAGTAAAGAAACTATTTGTGTATCTTTTGGAAATTGAGGATGATTAGCAATTGATCGGGTGTAAAGATTTAAGGGAATAATTTTATCTAAATGAGAATAGACATACTCAAAAGCATTATCTTGATAAGATTTTTTATTTAATATCTCTTGAATTTCTCGACTAATTTTCGATTTTTCATCTCCTTCTGATACGCCTTTTTTTAAAGCTTCTTCTTTAAATCTTTTCGCTTCTTTGGCAATTTTATTAAGTTTCTTTTAAAATAACATCAGTTCTATCTTTTTTGTTCAGTAATCATTTGATCAGGAATTTCTCGAGCTGAACGATCAGATTGACCATCAATTCGATATCGATCTGATTCTTTTTCCTTTATTTGCTTAGGCCAATCGATGTAATCAATGTTCAAAACAATATCATTCGCTTGTTCATAAGAAAGTTATTGATAATGAACAGCTTTCAATAGTTCATTTAAGGGCTTGATAGTTTTACGATCCGATTTTGCTATTTTCTTAGAAATACAATGAAAAAATTGTAAAAACTTATCATAATTTTCATTATCTAGTTGTATTCAAATGCGATTTAAAAATAATAAAGTTTTCTCAACACCATCTTCGTTAAGGTCAATACAACATGTAGTCATTTCTCGATTGAAAAGCTGAGAAAATTCAATTTCATGTAAAAGAGTATCTCAAATTGCTAATGACGCATCGGATATACTAAATCACATAACGTTTGTCAATATCAATCTTCAAGACCATCAAAAATATTGATTTAGATATTGTGAATGTCATGGATATCCATTATACAGACTCCATTATAATGATGTCAAGAAAGGTTTTTTCTACCACCTCCGCTAAGGAAATCTATTTTAAAATCTGCTGACATTAGTGTAATACGAACTTAAATTCGTCTGTCACTTTCTCTTACGATCATTTCCAAAATATTGACAACCGTTGTGATTTAATAACAGCTTCAAAGCCGTCAAGGGAATTGACTGCAGTTAACAGAACACCGTTTGATTTTCACGTTTTTATAAATGAGTGAACTTGTACGATATCTACATATCTGTTGAAGGCAAAATTAGGGAATTTTTCAGTGTCTACGCAAAACTATAGAAAGAATAGCATGTTTGTTTTCATTCGTCATTCATCTTCTCTATTCGGGCAATCGACATGATCATCGGACAAACGATACCGAGTTATACGTTTTGTTGTAACATTGGGGAATATCTATATACAGAAGGCAACACATTCAAAAAATACTATCGTATATAACAGGATTTTTATGCGTACTCGTGCTTTATGGTTTGATTAGCAAAATCAAAATCCCACTTTCTCTGTACATCTTAGTGCTATTTCTTGAAGACATCCCGAACAACGGTAGTAGTTGGGACCTGATGAAATTTGTTATAAAGACTGATGTAATACAAATGATTTTGGAATAGGAGTTGTAAACAGTCGACGCAATGATACATATTTTTTTTCACAAACAGAGGATTTATAAATATTTAATCGGTAACAAATACATAGCCTGCGCAATAGAGCACATGTGTAAAGAATGACTAATTTTGGTTTCTTTTTATTCGGACGGTCATCTTCTCACATTGAAATACCACGGTCATGAAAACATCAACTGCAATGATCATCTGACATGGATCCGAAAAATGTTTTCTCTCCAAAGATCCACCACGTTAGCAATCGAAAAGATACTGTTATACGACCTAAACATGCTATTAAACCTTTATCGCCAGCAAACTACTGTTTGGGCTTAGTTTCTGGTTCACAGGAACACGATCATTATCGACAGTTTACAAGATATATCGACTTACTGTTTGACAACGATTATCCTCATGAACTGTCATATTATTTTCACATTTTAATTCTTGTTTACATTCGAGATTTAAAATATTTAGACTCAATATTGTGATAAACTCACTCCCATTGAGGGTACTAATGCTGAACTAGTAGAGATGGCTATAACTCCCTGTGCAAGCCGAAAAACATACGGCGGAATATAAGACGAACGTTGTGCATTACGATGACGAAAGAATTTGCTAACTATCAGCTGTTCCATACAGTGTTATCGATGAGTCATCGCAAAACGCGGTTAGCGAGTTAAGAAACGCGCATTTTCGTTCAGATCGCAAATTGCCGTGTTTTTACAAAACTGCGATGGACCGCAGTTCATGTACAAAATGAGGGTGAGTTTCTTTTTACGATCGCAGTATATCGCGTGTCTTCTTGAAATTTTGATTAATCGGAAGTCTGAAACACCGCCTCTACAACGGCGAAAACCGTATTCTGTTCATGAACTGCGTACAACTGCGGTCAAACAGCGCGTGCAGTCGATCGAAGTTCAATAACACACAACGCTATTACTGCTAGGAGAGTTGCAATTGCCAGTTCGAATCAAGAGCAGCTGCATTCGCTGTTCAAGCCTAACGATTAGACTGTACCAAAGTCATCAGAGGTTCTAGAAATCTAAATACTGTGTCATTTATTTAACCAACTTCATTTATGCAGTAGAAATTTGTGCTATAAGTGAAAGATTCAAAAGAACGTCGGCTCTAGAGTACTCCATAAAGAGATTTAACTGTGTAAGTTTATATAGACAAATATTCTGACATCTTTTGCGGAATCGAATTAAAATGCACTTCTAGTTTCAACTTTAACTCAAGGACAAGATAGTTCTCAAGTTTTCATATCTGCAATTTTTTCTGAGTGATGACATCAAGAGTATAGAAAGTATTATTTTCATAAACAGTAGGCGTATAGTTCCATCAAATGAACGACTTCGATTTTTGTCATTTTTTACTCTACCTTTCTAGTTTTTTTATTTCAGATAGTACCATGGCTGTGCAAATTATTCTTTTGTATCAAAACTGCAAGCTGTCCAAACGATCGTTGCTATTATGCTATTATGGCTATCAATAAAAGTGTTATTCTTGAAAAAAATTTCAAATACTTCCTACATTGCTGTCGACTATGGATTAGTTAGTTCATTTTTGTCGTTTCCATCCACATCTTTACTTTTTCTGTCACGATTTGCCAACAATATCACTCCAGTTAACTCTAATAGATATGAACATAAATTAAGCCACGCAACTGCTTGCGCAGATGATGATGATGAAATGAACGGAAATGACGTTTTCAGTATAAGACCAATTATAGCACAAGTAGCAGAACAGAAATAAAATAAATACACAAGACAAACACCACATCCATATCCACTCGCTGCACTCGCACCACCACCAGCAGCAAAAACCACTACAGCAAATGCAACATAACCATAGTATGTAACAACACCAAATGATAAATAAAAGCTTGGTACACTACATATAAGATATTCTTGTGATTTAAAATCAAATGCATTCATAAAAAATATAAATGTTGTTAATAGACTCAAACATGTAAATGAAAACATTTGATTAAATTTCTTTTGATATCCCAAAACTAATTGCAATAGAAATATAAAATGGAGAATAAAAATTGTCCAATATGCTATATGGGTATAAACCTTTCCTCGATTCAAAACATCGTTGATTCCGTTATATTGTAATTTCGTATAATAAATCAATTTGTGATTACTGGTCGGTAATATTGGTGTAATAACTGAGTTATTTTTAACGATCATTTTTGTTTGATTATCATATGTATATTTACTAGCATGAATGAATAACGGATATGTTGTTGACCACATGACAATTGATTCAATTATATTTAACAAAAATGCCAAAAGAAACAATAACGATTCTTTTGTTGTCAATATATCAAGCATTGTCTGCTTCATTTCTATGTGATGTCTCATGTTTAACATCTTCACTTTATATATGGGCCAACAATGAGTATAAAAGAAGAAGAAAGAATAACAATGGATATCTCTCACAAGACGTCACTTTTTTCGAATACTTCATATTTGATATCACTATATACTGTGACGCAGAAAGCTAGTCATAGTTTGTAATAAAAGTGTTTCATATCATGATTGAAACTCAAGAGGGAACCCGTGTTACTGACGACCACGTCATCCAAGACAGAATTTTGTTTTCTTGCTCAGTAGTCTAGTTCGAATTTATTAATTTACAGAGCCATGGTACTATTTGAAATAAAAAAACTAGAAAGGTAGCAAAAAAAATGAGAAAAATCAAAGTCGTTCATTCAATAGAACTATAAGCCTACTGTTTATGAAAATAATACTTTCTATACTCTTGAAGTCATCACTCAGAAAAAATTGCAGATATGAAAACTTAAGAAGTATGTGTGTATTTGTGTCCTTGAAAGGACACAAATACGGCTTTTCTAAAGGTAACGCTGTGGCATTTTCGACACAATAGTTTGAGGTTTTCTCGAAAACTGTAAGAGCTAGAAAGTTCGTTTTTGCGCCATTCGACGCGGCTCTTCTTACTCTACTTGGAGTAGAAAAACGAAGAGTTTTGATTAAAGACTCGAACTTCCAGAAAACCTTCTTAGACCGGTAACGCTAAGAAACCCGTTTAACAATGTAGCTTTCTTCAATAAGCCATCCTAATTAAAATCATTCGTTTTCACTTATAATCCTACAAACTTTGAAAAGAGATTGAAGAAAACAGCAGTCCGCTAAAAACATTCAT